ATATATATATATTTGCGTGTGTGTGTGTGTGTGTGTGTGTGTGTGTGTGTGTGTGTGCGTGTGTCTGTGTGTGTGTATATATTTTTTTTCCCTAGGTGTTTACTGCTCTAAAAAAAGTCAACTTTTCCCAAAACGGTTATCCTGTGTCATTTGATGCTAATGGGGATCCGGTTGCTTTTTATGAGCTGGTCAACTGGAAGAAGAAAGAGAATGGAGCTATTGAACTGGTAACAGTAGGATATTATGATGCATCACTGCCAAAAGGCCAGGAGTTCCATATCAACCAAAATATAACCTGGGTGGAAGGAGGCGTTCAAGTAAAGAACCTAACTAAATTATACCAGATACTAAACTGAGAACTATTTAGACACATATATTTAGCAGAAACTAATGAACTTTGACTGTGTCACAGATGATATTGTCTGGCTGTGTAACAGGTACCAGTGTCAGTGTGCTCTGAAAGTTGTTCTCCAGGAACTCGTAAAGTGTTGCAGAAAGGAAAACCCATCTGCTGCTATGATTGTATACCATGTCCTGAAGGAGAGATCAGTAATACAACAGGTAAAATCAATGTTTTATTTTTTTATGTATGTTAATATTATAAAGATATCAGTCATTATTCAAAACCTAAAACACTGTTTTGTAGATTCTCCTGATTGCTTCCCATGTCCCAGTGAATTTGGGCCTAATGTTCAACGAGATGCTTGTTTTCCCAAACCTGTTGAGTTTCTTTCATTTGATGAAGTCCTGGCAATCATCTTGGCTGCATTATCTGTTTTTGGAGCCTGTCTGGCCATCATAACAGCAGCTATCTTCTATCATCACAGAACAACTCCAATTGTCAGAGCCAACAACTCTGAGCTGAGCTTCTTGTTGCTCTTCTCTCTGACTCTGTGTTTCTTATGTTCATTAACTTTCATTGGAGCTCCCTCTGAGTGGTCCTGCATGCTGAGACACACAGCGTTTGGTATCATCTTTGTTCTCTGTATCTCCTGTGTTCTTGGCAAAACTATAGTGGTTTTAATGGCCTTTAAAGCTACACTTCCAGGTAGTAATGTCATGAAATGGTTTGGGCCTCCACAACAAAGGATGACTGTAGTGTTTTTCACATTTATTCAGGTTTTAATTTGTACTGTTTGGTTGGTTGTCAGCCCTCCATTTCCAATGAAAAACCTGAGCACATACAAGGAGAAGATCATCCTGGAATGTGCATTAGGCTCTGCTGTTGGCTTCTGGGCTGTGCTCGGCTACATTRGCCTGCTGGCTGTTTTTTGCTTTGTGTTAGCTGTTCTAGCTCGGAAACTACCTGATAATTTTAATGAAGCCAAGCTGATAACCTTCAGCATGCTGATAKTCTGTGCAGTGTGGATCACCTTCATCCCAGCATATGTCAGCTCTCCTGGAAAATTTACTGTGGCTGTGGAGATATTTGCCATCCTGGCCTCCAGTTTTGGACTGATACTGTGTATATTTGCTCCAAAGTGTTTCATGATACTGTTCCACCCAGAGAAGAACTCAAAAAAATATTTAATGAATAAAAACTAATTGTAAAATATCAGAGGTTTTGAAATAAAAAGGCAAATCAACCATAGCATTATCAATATTGCTTAAACTGTTCAGTTTTGTTACAGAAATCAAAAACAGAAATCCATTTTCACCTGAAAAGGCCTGAAATAAACACTTGATCTTTGATAATGTTTTCCTAAACCTTTTTTTTTTTTCAACAAATACATAATGAACAGAAATTCACTGTAAAGTATCAATGGCGTTTAAACACAATTCGATGACATCAATGAAAAAGTGATAATTGCAGTTGTACAAATACATAATCTTTGGGCTTCTATTTCATTCTTTCTTAATTGTTAAGGTTTTTATAAAAGAGTATGCTTACTGTAATGTAAAATTCTTGATGAATAAAAATTAATGGCCTAAAAGAAATATTCTCCCTGTTATGGATGTCAGTGTTCCAAAGACATTATCCAACACGTATAGTGAGCTAATATAGGCATGTACATAAGCAACATTAAAAAGTAATTACCTTAAAAAAGAAGAAACACTCTAATGCACAAAGCACAAATGCACATTGAAAGTATGAAGTCATAAAAAGGCATAAATAATGAGAGAGTGGAAGGCGTCTCTTCTGTAAACAATCATGTGACATAAAAACAGTACATAAAAAAGTAAAAGCACACACCCAACTGCAGACAGTTGAAGAATGGAGATCTGGACTTTATTCATTGGTTTGAGGTTTGCAGTGAGTTTATTGGAGCTGATGTCAGCTGTCGACTTGGGTGGTTCTGTAAATGGACTGAAACGAAAAAACAACCCTATAGATGATCTGATTGGTGCTGGTGTCGGTACTGAGGCTTCATCTATGAAGTGTAACCTGCAGGGTACAACTCGTTTACCTGCATCATCAGAGGATGGAGACATTTTCATTGGAGGTGTTTTTTCTATTCACCCCAAACTTGACACAGTGATTTATAACTACACCACCAAGCCAGAACCTCCAAGATGCACAGGGAGGTTAGTAGGAGGGAGAAAAAAAAAGAAAAGATTGTAAAGAATGGAATAGGTGGTTAGATGTGTACATATGGAAACTCTGTGATTTACTGCAAAGTTGCTAAAATTTGTAAAAGTAATATTTATTTGTTTTTGTATATGTTTTTTAACAGTCGCATCATTTTAGATGTATACTTCTACCAGTCCTGTTGTGTTATAAAACAAATTTTGATTTTACGAACAGATTCATGAAAGAGAAAAACCTAGTTAAGGACTTGGTATTATATATTTGCATCTGTAAATGTCATGTTGTGAAATCAACTAAGTTACAGCTGATTTAATAGGTTTAAAGACAAATGACAAATCAAACTCTTTTGTGTGCCAAATGTAGACTTTCTTTGGATGTTGTATTTTTTTTCTCGACACAAAGATTTTCAAAGTGAGGCTTTCTTATTTTTTATTAATATCAAGACTCACCTAATTGATTTTGTGCAGCTTGAATGCCCGAGTTTTGCGTTTCTGTCGAGCAATGGTCTTTGCSATTGAGGAGATAAACAACAGCACTGAACTGCTGCCAGGCATCAAACTTGGATATCAGATCTTTGATTCATGTGTCTCAGTTCCTGTGGCTGTGCATGTGGCATCTCAATTTTTAAATGGACAGGATCATATCTTTTACAAAGACAGAAACTGTTCTCAATCTGGTATGGTGATGGCTGTTATTGGGGACTCTGGATCCACACCATCCATCAGCATATCACACATCTTCGGGTCCTTCAATGTTCCTCTGGTAAGTCACTTAGTATGCATTGACTATGAAATAAAATTTTATTTTATACCTGTGGGTTTTTACATTCATTTTCTTCAATGTTAAAGAGCTATACTCTCATGTTTTGTTATATTAGGTGAGCCCCTTTGCCACTTGTGCCTGCCTGTCAGATAAGGAGCAGTACCCAACATTTTTCAGAACAATTCCCAGTGATCAGTTCCAAGCTGATGCTCTGGCCAAGCTAGTGAAACACTTTGGTTGGACTTGGATCGGTGCTGTTCGCTCTGACTCAGATTATGGAAATTATGGAATGACATCTTTTTTAGATGCAGCACAGAAAGAGGGGATCTGTGTGGAGTACTCTGAAGCTTTTTTTCGGACCGACCCTCGCAGCAAGATAAAGCAAATAGCTGATGTTATCCGCAGGTTTCTGTCGCTTTATTTTTTTAGTATGTTTTTTATTGATAAGAACCTAATGCAGTGAAAATTTAAAAAAAAAAAGAATCTTAAAAACATTATGAAAAATGAAACGTAAAATTGAAGCTGTTTTGGATGTTATGGTTGCCTTGTGTTTGAAGATGTTAAATCAAAGCAGAGATGGATCTCTAGACTTAACAATAGGTTTCACAAATTAGTAAATGTTGTTGAAAGTGATGTGTATTTAATATCAATGAGTTTATTCCAATGTCTCTGCAGGTCAACAGCAAAGGTTATTGTGGCTTTTGCTGCCTCTGGAGATATGAGTGTCCTGTTAGATGAGTTGGCTTTGGATCCCCCACCACCTCATCAGTGGATAGGAAGTGAGGGCTGGATAACTGACCCACTCTTGATACGTTTCAGTTTCTGTGCAGGAGCCATTGGAGTTGCCATTCAGAAATCTGTCATCCCAGGTCTGAGAGACTTCCTGCTGGATCTCTCTCCCAGTGATGTAGCTGCCTCCTCAGTGCTTACTGAGTTCTGGGAGGATGCATTCAACTGCAGCTTGAAAGAAAGTAAGAAACTTTTGTTAGGTTTTTGTGGCAGATGTTCTACAGCATTTTGTGACCTGATACGTAACCATTTTTTAAACTGAAAAACTCTAAACCACACACGTATTGTATGTGTCTCAAACACTACATTAGTCTTGCACTTAATCAGAAATAGACATAACAAGGTAACACATTTCTGTAGTTTGAAAAATTAATACAAGCATAAACCATTTTTAGTTACACACACTTAAACTTTTGTTGTTGGGTGTTTTAGTTTATTTTGACAGAAGTAAAAAAGACTAAATGATGAATGATATTCACTAAAATTGTTGGTTTTATGTAAATAATTATTTATTTTAGTCTAAATGAGTTTATTTTATTTGTTTGATCGTTTTAGTTTTCATTTAAAACTTCTAAAGAAACATTGCTTCCATGTTAAACTTTGTTTTTGTTTTACTTTGATGAAACAAGCAATCTGATTCTGTTTTATTTCTTGTTAGGTTTCAATCTCGACAAAAGAGTGTGTGATGGAACTGAAGATATAAAAGCACTTGTAAGCCCGTACACTGAAACGTCTCAGTTAAGAGCTACTAACATGGTGTACAAGGCTGTTTATGCGGTAGCTCGTGCCATTCACAATGCAGCGTGTGAGGAAACTAATGATACTACTCAGTGTGACAAACATTTCAAACTAGAAACAAAACAGGTAAGATAGAATAAAAAGCCATGAAATATTGAAAGTTCTTTTAAAGCTTATTCATTTGACTACCCCATGTTATACCTGCCCAACATTTTTATTTTATTTCACAGGTTTTTGCTGAATTGAAAAAAGTAAACTTTTCCCAAAATGGTTATCCTGTGTCATTTGATGTTAATGGAGATCCTGTGGCTTTTTATGAGCTGATCAACTGGCAGAAAAGTGAGAGTGGATTTACTGAGCTGGTAACAGTAGGATATTATGACGCATCACTACCAAAAGGCCAAGAGTTTCATATCAACAGGAACATATCTTGGACTGATGGTGGCACACAAGTAAATAACCTAATGATAAAAGATTAAAACAAATTAATGTATAAATACAAAAATTAGGCAGCTGCAAAAAATGTTACACATTTGTCATTTATATATTTCACAACTCTGTGACAGGTACCAGTGTCAGTGTGCTCTGAAAGTTGTCCTCCAGGAACTCGTAAAGTGTTGCAGAAAGGAAAACCCATCTGCTGCTATGACTGTATACCATGTCCTGAAGGAGAGATCAGTAATACAACAGGTAGTGATGAAGATTTTTTATTTTATTATTTTTATTATTTAATGCACATTTGTATTTACAAACAAATGTTACATGACAGGTAACATTAATGGTCTTTTTACATTGCATTATGACATATTTTAGTACTAAATGTCTATTCTTTTATATCTTTAGATTCTCCTGATTGCTTCCCATGTTCTGATGAATTCTGGCCAAATGCAAAAAGAAATACTTGTTCGCCCAAACCTGTAGAATTTCTGTCATTTGATGAAGTCCTGGCAATCATCCTGGCTACATTTTCTGGTTTGGGGGTGACTCTGGCCATCATAACAGCAGTTATTTTCTTACGTCACAGAACATCTCCAATTGTTAAAGCCAACAACTCTGAGCTGAGCTTCTTGTTGCTCTTCTCTCTGACTCTGTGTTTCTTATGTTCATTAACTTTCATTGGAGCTCCCTCTGAGTGGT